AAAGAGGTCTAAATGTTTATTCTGCACAAGTTAAAAAAAACAAAAAGCTACAGTATTTTATCGCCACTAATGATTTTAGTTTAGCGACACTTCTTTTTGCCAGCTGCCTTAAGTCCTAATTACTTGCTGGATTTGATTCTGTCTAAAATTTCAATGCAAAATCTGCTGACCTTTAACCTCAAACTTTTTGCTTTTTTTAGTCGATCGCATTTGAAAAGGAAAGAGTTTCTATTTATAAGTTTAATCAAAAGATCTTATCCTCGTGAAAACTAGTTTTTTACAAAGCTGCTCTGCGCTAAAAAAAAAAAGAAGTCAGGTTATAACTAGAAATCAGAAGCAACTGTTTACACTCGACATCTCTTTGAATAACAACACTAATTTAAAGACAGGCCATCAACAATTCACCAGATCATATCTATAGCACATAATTGACTGTAATCAAGTAGAGATGTTTTACAATGTCACCACGTGTTTATTTATGCATTTGTCAAATAACTGAATATTTGTTTAATATTTGTGTAATTAAACTTTACAAAGCATTTAAAGTCTCATGAGTCCTCCCCAGTTGGATCAGGGGCGGTGTTTATGTATAAAATAAAAAATAAAAAATAGGATATAGGGTGCTGGTTTAGCTGGGTGGGTAGAGCAGGCGATCTATATATTGTAGGTCTTTCCTTCTTCTGTCCACTGTCCTGTTACGCAAAAGGCTAAAAATAACAATAAGGAAATAGCATATGGATATGAGGTGCCAAATTACATGCCTGAAAAGGTTGAGCAGCTCTGGAAAAAATGCAAACAAGTCCACAGCTATTGTATGTATTAGTGTACAGAGGCTGGTGATAAAATAGCTATGCAGATAAGCATTTTCAGTAACCACAGAGTGTAAAGTTCAGGCCCTCGGTGCACATGAGAAAAGCACTGAAACGCTCGACTCGTTGTTAGCCTGTAGTAAAAAAGTTGTCAACTGTATGATGAAAGGAAAATTCACAGGGTCACTTTTTTCATAATTTTTTTTAATTAGCAGGTCTTTATTCCCCACACAAATGCGTGTCCTGGTTTTCAGTGGCTTCTGCATGTAAATGACTCATGGAAACACGCAGTCATGTGACGTCAGCATTATCACTGCGAGGAAAGAAGGTTCCTCGCATACAGGCAGATCAAGTTGGTTAGATTTCAAAGACTGGAAAAAAAGCTAGTGAGACACGTGTCGAAAGAACAACTGAATGACTTAGTTGAGTCAGAAATTGCAGTCTGAAAGAAGATGATCATTAGAACCTTGCACAGGAATGAACTCGGATGTTGTAGACCAAGAAAAACTCCATTTGTGTAAAAGAGACACCTTCAAGCCAGACTGAAGTATGCTACAGTAAGGACAACCTGGAGAAAGATTATGCATACTGGAAGCACGTCCTTTGGTCAGATGAGACTAAACCCTTTTGGCCACAGAGCCACTGCTTACATTTGGAGAAAGAAAGGTAGAATTTAGAGACCAAAGAAACAGCATCCCAACAATGAAACACGGTGGTGGGAGTATTATGCTGTGGGGATGCTTCGATGTGTCTAGGACTGGGAATCTTGTCAAGGTGGAAGGACTCATGAAGAAAAAATGATATGGGAAGATTATGAAAGAAAACCTCAAGCAGTCCGAAATTAAACGGAGTCTGGATGTAAGATATATCTTCCAACACTCCTGATCACCAAAGTGAACGTTACTGACTGTCCTACACTTGAATCTCATTGAAAATCTATGAAGTGAAGAACATTAAATCTGGAGAAGCTTAAGAGATTCACCAAACCATTATGTATATTTAGGATAATTCTCTTAAAGAAGTATACATGCAGCAGTGTATTAGTAAACATTGTGTAGCACAAGTCCTTGTAGCTGTATGTTGTAGAATAGACTTGCTAACTAGGAGATTTAATGCTGTAAGGTGAAGAGAAATCTTGGATCACACGTCAAATTAATCAGTAAAAGAAAACAAACAAAAAACCCCCCAAAGAGGCATTAATTTGGCATTTAAATTAGATTTTATTCTTTCGCCAGTTTCAAGGCTTCACAGTTAAAATCACTTGCTTTTGACTTCGGCAAGGCAATGACAGGACAGATGTGAGGATGTCAGTAGTTCAGTGCATTCACAACATACAAAAACATTTGAACCAAAAACTTCACTAGCACCAGTTAACACCAATGTCTAACACTAGAGCAACAGTGATCTGTTCAAGTGTGGCGAACCATTCAATTCATGATGGCGGGGGAGTGAAAATGGTGGAGTTGGGGGGGTAATGGGCGAGGTGAAAGGAGCTCAGGGAGCCAGTTGCGCTGAGGTTTTATGCAACTTCCTCCTCTCCCTCTTCCTCGAACTCGCCTTCCTCAGCGGTGGCATCCTGGTACTGCTGGTACTCGGACACCAAGTCGTTCATGTTGCTCTCGGCTTCGGTGAACTCCATCTCATCCATACCTTCGCCCGTGTACCAGTGGAGGAAGGCCTTACGACGGAACATGGCGGTGAACTGCTCGGAAATGCGCTTGAACAGCTCCTGGATGGCGGTGCTGTTGCCAATGAAAGTGGCGGCCATTTTCAGGCCACGGGGTGGGATGTCACAGACGGCGGTCTTCACATTATTCGGGATCCATTCGACAAAGTAGCTGCTGTTCTTGTTCTGCACATTCAGCATCTGCTCATCCACCTCCTTCATGGACATGCGACCTCTAAAGACTGCGGCCACGGTCAGGTAGCGGCCGTGGCGCGGGTCGCAGGCAGCCATCATGTTCTTGGCATCGAACATCTGCTGAGTGAGCTCAGGCACAGACAGTGAGCGATACTGCTGGCTGCCCCTGCTGGTGAGCGGGGCGAACCCTGGCATGAAGAAGTGCAGACGGGGGAAGGGCACCATGTTGACAGCTAGTTTGCGGAGATCGGCGTTGAGCTGGCCAGGGAAACGCAGACAGGTGGTCACCCCGCTCATGGTGGCGGACACCAAATGGTTGAGATCTCCGTAGGTTGGAGTGGTGAGTTTGAGTGTGCGGAAGCAGATGTCATAGAGGGCTTCATTGTCAATACAGTAGGTTTCATCTGTGTTCTCTACCAGCTGGTGGACAGAGAGGGTGGCGTTGTAAGGCTCCACCACGGTGTCAGACACTTTGGGGGAAGGCACCACGCTAAAGGTGTTCATGATGCGATCGGGGTACTCCTCGCGAATCTTGCTGATCAGCAGAGTGCCCATGCCGGAGCCAGTGCCTCCGCCCAGAGAGTGAGTGAGCTGGAAGCCCTGGAGGCAATCGCAGCTCTCAGCCTCTTTCCTCACTACATCCAGAACAGAGTCCACCAGCTCTGCTCCCTCAGTGTAGTGGCCCTTGGCCCAGTTATTTCCAGCTCCACTCTGGCCTGTAGTCAAAAATATTCCAATTTATAATGTAAGATGCACAGGAAAGACATAGCATAGTATGCTCGATTAACAAAATTCACCCAGCTTACCAAAGACAAAGTTGTCTGGTCTGAAGATCTGTCCGAAGGGACCAGACCTCACCGAATCCATCGTTCCAGGCTCCAGATCCACCAGGATGGCTCGTGGAACGTATTTTCCACCTAAACCAGTCAAAAGTGAATGAACAATATAATTCCTTGTAATTTTAAGAGGCACGCTGGATGTGATGTAAAACAGAGATATGTATGCGAATCAGTCTGTACGGCAGCAGAGGTGAATCTGCAACCAACCTGTGGCCTCATTGTAGTAGACGCTGATCCTGTCTAGTTGCAGGTCGCTGTCTCCATGGTAGGTACCGGTGGGATCAATGCCGTGCTCATCGCTAATCACCTCCCAGAACTGAAACAAAACAGGGGTGGTAGGAGAGGAAGGTGGGATGCAAGTTCATTCCAGTTATGTATTTGCTGATATACTTTTAATTACATTTCTAGAAAGCTTAGTGTGTATTTCTGGTGCATGTAGAGTCAAAAGAGCAGTCTATTAGTCTGATCTGGCAGATGGCAATAATCTGAAAAGTAAAAGCGTCTTTGGTGCCATATAGCCAACAAGATTAATTATACTAAAGATATAATCCATGCCAGTGTTAAAATGATAATACTGCAGTTTGATTCAGTTTAAATTTAGACATTTTTTTTTTCAGAAGCAAGTGGCTGGAAAAGATTCAGGCAAAAATAGGTCATTAATATGGAGGGGGAGGGGCGGCTGCTCTAACATCTACAATAAGGTTTCATTACTATTCCAGTCAATCGCTGATATACTCGCATGGAAAATTCGACAAAAATGTGGAGATATTAAATGCGAGTTATGCATGGAATTATTAAAGCATAAAGTCGCATAAATCTTAATTTCTCCTGCATAAACCAGTGCATGAATCAGTCTTGTCCTCAGTGTGAAACCCTGCACGGAATGCCAATGAGCAAATCGTCTGTGGATTGATTCTCCCTCTCTCTGGAATGTAATGAGCTTTAAGAAGAAAATACGCCGCACAGAGTTTGTTCTAGAGAATTTCTGGAAGATGGATTAGGGGAGCTCCTCTGAGTGCCACCGAAGCGTGCCTGCATGACAGCCGGCACACGGCTCACCGGATTGGGGAAAAAAAACAAACGAAATAGAGCAAAAGAAATCAGAAAGAAATACCTTGGCTCCAATCTGGTTTCCGCACTGGCCGGCCTGCAAGTGCACAATTTCGCGCATTTTGGACAGGTGGGTAAGAGGACGGTCGAGTAGGAAACGGGAATCTGAGCAGAGGAGATTCACAGGATGGTGGCTCCTGCAGTCGATCGTCCGGGATTTTGTTGCACCGCCTCTAGGACCGTCTACTGGGCTGAAACGGTGGTGCAACTTGACGTCATCGCCATGGCAACCAAAGACTGGAGGAGAGAGGGAGGAACCAAAAGCTGTGGAAATGGCGGATAGGATGCGAGGAAGCTGCATCAGTTGTCAATAGGTCGTCTCGTTATTCTCACGGACTCAGTGACCCCCCCCTCA